TGAATGTGCTTGTCTCTTTGAAATATATGAGAGATACTAGTATATGTCTATTTCAGAGCAATCTTGGTGAAAGATATCTACCATCTTTGAGAAATGTCATAGTGGTTGGTCTTCGTGTATGTGGGTGTTTGGATCTGATTCTTAAAACTGCCTCTGCTCTCAGGGAGCAGAAGCAGAAGTTGAAATGTTTGGGTGAAAGTGTAGAAGTACTTTTTGTGCTTAATTTACTCACAGAAGCAAATTTTTTAGAAGTTGGGGGGACCAACTTCTGAAAAGTAATTCTGCTTCTACTTTAAAAAAGAAACAGGAACAAATTCAGTTCCAAACACCCCTACATTCCAAGAATTCGTAGATGGTAGATGGTATAGAAAACTTTGGTTACTCCCGTATGTTTTTGTGCTTGAATTGGTTTCTTCATGATATTTTCGCCTTTTCCTTTTTTTCTTTGAAAGGATCGCCTTTTCCTTTTTAAGCACTTAAATATGTACCACTCATTTTATTAAATGGATGTCGTTATTTTATTACATTTATGGCCATTTTTTGTTACGATCAAGTAAATGGAGTCAATTAAAGTTGTTTAGATGTATATTGTACTTATATTTGAACTTGATGTAAGATATTTGATTATTTAAAATCATATAATTTCATTTGGAACTTTTCCTGTCAATTCAATATAAGTGATCCCTTTTTTTTGGATGAAAGGTAATTGTATTAACACTCAAAAATAACATTTTGCCATGAAGAGAGACAAATATATAATTTAGGATGATTAAGTCAGAATGAGAGCCCAACTTCATCTACGTGACCAACGCTTCCTTTGGAATTAGGAAGTTTGGATCCATATAACATTTCTTGGACAAGATGCTACAAAAAAAAGTTCTAAGTATGACCATGAAGGTCTCAAATTCTCAATGAGAGTTACAACATTTATAATCAAACTTACAAACTAAGAAGATCTTGAATTTTCCTTTTTCTTACAAAGCATTATTAAACTTAAAACATACTACCCCGTCCCTTTTTATTTAGCCAACTTTGATTTTTCCAGTCAAAAGATGATAAACTTTGATCCATAATTTTAACTAATATATTTATGTGAAAGTTAATAAATTTATACTTTTATGATAGTATTTTTCAACAAAGAACAATTTCATATAATTTTCATATTATCAACATTACCGTGTATAAATATATAATCAGTCAAAGTTGAACAACTTTAACTTGAAAAATAGTGTTTGGCTAAATAAAAAGGGATGGAGGGAGTATAAGATTTGTTGTCCCTTTTTTTAAATTAATTGTTATTATACTCCATATTCTAGATATATCCGTGCATCGCACGGGTACTTCGTCTAGTATGTATATATAAAAACAAAGGCTCGCTCGCGAACCGGCTCGCGAGCCACGAGCCTAAAATAAATAGACTTGAATTGAGCTTGTAAAGTATTCGAGTCGAGCTTGAATATGACCGAACTCGAGTCGAGTTTTTCCCAAGCGGTCCACGATCCGCTCGCGAATGCTTGGCTCATTTACACCCCTAGGTTCCAATAAGGAACTGAACTCTTTCGTCTTGATTTTGCAATATTGAAACTTGTGATTTATAAGTTGTGAGTTATTTTCTTTAATCATCCTATCTTGAATATTAATTACATTCTTATTTTTTTCCACATTTGTATTTGAACATTGTTAAGTGATCAATTAGTTAATGTTTTCACTTGATCATTTCATTGGTAGTAACTTTAAAGTACTTATGCATGCATCTCATGGCCGGTTAGTAGTCTAAAAATGATGTAGTTATATTGATTGAACCGAAACTACTTGTGTTGAAATTGTCAATCTTAATTGATTTCATCTAAAGATAAATTGCTAATATCAGATTAATATAAGATGTTTGTTCTATATTGACTAAATAGTACTCTCTCTGACTCACGATAATTGTTCCGTTTTTCTTTTTTCATGCATCCCACTAAAGTTGTCTTATACCATATTTGGTAATATTTGTATGGTTTTAATTCATTTTTATTTTATTCCCAACACCTCCTTTTTTCGCAATCTTAGGGGGACAGAGTTATTAGGGGTGAGCATTCGGTCGGTCGGTCAAATAACCGACCGATAACCGAATAACCGACCAATGTTGTTTCCTCTCATAACCGACCGAAAACCGACCGACAACATTACATAACCGACCGAAAAATGTCATTCGGTTTCGAACGGTAACCGAATAACCGAACATAACCGACCAAAACATATATTTTTCAAAATTATAAAAGTTGTAGATAGCACATTAATAAATAAAATAATAAATACCAAAATGGATTCAACATATTTAAATGTAAATAATTGTTCTTAGCACAATACGATTACAAAAACTAATAAATCCCACGTTGAAACTACTTCATAGTTCCACAATTGTCTTTTTCAATATGAAAACAAAATAAAAAAGGATATGTCAGCTAATAAATAAGCTAATATCTTATTAATCTTTACACCCCAAATGAGCAAATCCATCTAAAAGTTTCTGAATATTTTAAATCACATTAAAGAAAAAATTAAAAATCAAAAGATCTGCCATGTTGAGGAAGATAATAAAGGATCTAGAAAACATTAAAAGAAAAAAAGTGTGCAATTTCGCAACGATTAAATAAGGATTTCAGTTGATTTTTCTCTACCAAGGTTGATTCCTCCCGAACTAATGAAGGTGTACGTGGAGGTTTGAAATTTTGAACAGGGTGTTCCATGAATTGATTATAAGAATACAAGTTAAAGAGATGGGGAAGTAGATAATTGAAGAACGGGCTCCATAGCATTCCACTAATGAGTTTTGTAGGTGGAGTTCAATGGGCGTGGGCTGGACTTCATATTTCATTACTATGGAGTTCTTTTTTTTTATCGTTACTATGGAGTTATTAATTTATTACGGAGTATATTTACTTAAATATTTACAAAAAAATAAAATAAAAAATAAAAAATCGGACGGTTATCAGTGACCGACCGATAACCGACAAATAAAACCGAATAATAACCGAATAACCGAATAACTGATTATTTTTAATTTATGATAACCGAAAACCGACCGAAAACTGATTTTTTCGGTCGGTTCGGTCATCGGTTTTCGGTCAGGTCGGTTGAATCGGTTATTTGCTCACCCCTAGAGAAATTGGAGTTTCTCCACGACTAAGTATTCAAAAGGGAGAAATTAAATGATAAGTGGATATTAGTAAAATCAAGTCTCCATCTCGAATTATTTTTTTTATCCTGATAAATGATCATTCATTCGTCATGATGTTTTAATCTTTTCAAATTCACACACACTTAAGACATAAGAGCCCCTTTTGTTACAATTTCACACAAGAATACTTTTCCCCTGGATAAGAACTCTACTACGTTACACTATCATAACTAGTGCTAGTGGTGAAATTATATTTGGTACATGCACAATGACTGTGAGCCAAATTTTGGCGTTGTCAGGGAAAGGCAACAATTTTTTACATGTATCTTATTTCAAATCTTTTATGAGCTATTTGATAATTGATGATAAAAATTTATTATATTAACGACAGAATAAACCTTTCAAATGTTGAAAAATAAAGTTTGATGTAACAAAAATAAAATAAAAAATAATAATTTAAATAAACTTTGATGTAACAACTGAGAAGGTTCAACCCGATCCTACAAATTTGAAGAATACGCTCAGATGGCACAAGAGGCAAGAACATTGAGGAAGCTCACAACCACGAATCTAAATAAAAACCCTAATGTATCACCTTAACTAATCTTGATGAAGGTGCTACATTTGAATTAAAGTCGAGTCTGATTCACCTTTCCGTCATTTCACGGAATGTAGGGGGAATATCCAAACAAACAACTTTCAAAATTTCATATAGTTTGCAAATATAAAACCGAAGGTGTCATAGAAGACCAAATCATGTAAAGGGTCTTTCCATTCTCTCTCCAAGACTCGACAAAAGATTGATATTGCTATCTTCCCTCAGGAAGTATACATACATGGGCAGCCATGTAGAAGTGTTGAAAAATACTATCCAACTGCAATCTTCATCGGCCATGAAGATGAATTGTTGTATGAGTTTTGGATAAAAAAAAACTATGTGTTAGCTCCAATCCCATACATAGACCATGGCCTAATTCTATATTTTTACGATGATCTTTCCGAAGATGATAGAAAGACAGTTAACACAACGTGTGGAAGGGGCATTGTGAACAAAATCTCATCGGAAGCAATGAAATTGATCTTGGACTTGGCTAAAATCTCCCGACCCGGGACCGAACCGGCCCGGTCACTGTTTGGCCCGGCCCGGCCTGTGGCCCGGTGGGTCCACCGGTTCGGTTTGGCCCGGCCCGGGTGCTGGGCGGTCCGGGCTCGGGCCCATGTTTTGGTGAACCGGCCCGGCCGGTTCGGGCCGGATTTTAAATTTTTTTTTTTTTGAATTTTTTTTAAGTTTTAGGTTGGATTAGGTATTTTGGGCCATTTGAGGTGGTTTGGGATGGTTTGGGGTTGAGGCCTGAGGGGGAGGGGTAGGAGATATAATAGGAGAACAAAAAAAAAAAAAATTGGGCCGGTTCGGCCCGGCCCGGCCCGGTTTGGCCCGGAACCGGAACCGGCCACCGGCGGTTCGGGCTCGGGCCTCCCCTTTCCAGGCCCGGCCGGGCCCAGGCCCGAACCGGGCCCGAACCGGCCCGAGTCCAGGATCAGAGACAATTAAGCCAGAGATCCACCTCCTAAAAAGCCCTTGCAGCAGAATCCATTTATAAAACTCAAGAAGTTAAGGCCTACAACATCTACACGTCTCAAGGACATCCATTCAACTTTTGCCCAAGACTCCAAAGAGATTAAGTTGAACAAGTCAATGACATTGCATTCGAAGGGCAAGTTCCTCAAAAGAAGTATACTCTATTCTTTAACACATATAGCCGATCATCCATATTTAAGGTATAAAAACCAACAAGGAAATCATTAACAATATCTATAACAAGTTAAACAACAATTCCCCAACAATTCAAACAACAATTCCCCTTAAGTCGGTCGACTCAATTTGTATTCCTTATTATTAAAAAATCAGATTTCAAAATTTTAAAATGAGAGGAATATAATAATATTTTTCAAAAACTAAATTTCTAATACATTAATAAATAAAATACAATCAAAGTACAACATGTCAATAGTGTAACATTCAACATGTTGAATCTATTTAAGGATGGAGTAGTATACATTAATAAAAGACAGTTATGAGAGGCACGGGCTTGTCCTGACTAATAAAAGACAATAAGCATCGTTTTAGATCATTGCGCTAAGGAAAGCGCATCATTCACTCTCTTCATCACCATTCACCAAATTCAAATGATTCATATTTTTTTCAAGTGGTGGAAGACCATCATCAGAGTCGTTAGAAGAATTTTCACCACCTTCATGAGATTCTGCATCTTTTGCTGATTGAAAAACAAAATAAATTAAACTCATAGAGTATGCTTTTACATTTGAGAGTGACAATCAACCCTAGCTAGTAGCCAACTAGCCATTTTTTGTCAAAATGGAGTACTTGGGGGGGGGGGGGGGGGGTAGGGTAAAATTTGAGACTATCTTCGTGTAAATATGATTACTGTCCAGAAAGGAATGTGAGATTACTGATTACCTATATTATTTGGACGGTAATGTTTCATTACATTACCTTGACTACATTACTTTTGTAATGTCACACTGCAAACCAAACACTCCCTTGAGTTTCAACATTAAAGAGATGTCCTTGGATAGGAGCAAACCATGTCACTATTCCCTAAATAGGACTACAAACATTAGGACATAACTATATTGCCGGTGCATCCACTGTTGCCACCGTACAGCCACCACTAAAATCTACGTAGTATGTAGTAAATAGTGAACCCTCAGATTTAAATGCTTAACTCTAAATTTTAAATGCTAACTTTAAATGTCAAACTCTTAAACCTAAGGGTGGTATTTTGGAATAAAATTATTACACTTTCCACTAAGAATTACACAAGTCCATGTTAAGGAGTACGGAGTAATACATAGGGTCCTAGTTTGAAAAAATTGTTAAGTTTTAGTTGTAGAATGTAGATAGGACAATTTTCTCAAACCCGGAACTGCAAATCAAATCAAAAGAATAGTGGAGCATAATTACCATCGTCATGCGCAAGGGTTTGCGAGACCTGTGACCTTTGCCTAGAGAGCCATTCATTTTGAGTTGAGATAATATCGGAACTTGTGTTGCAATCAGAGTACGCCTTTAAAAGTTCTCTGCATTTATCAAAATTGAAAACAGTCTACTAAGACAATTCAGATAAATGTGTTTTTATTTAAACAGCACAAACGCGCAGTCACACGTGTCTTAGATGAACGACTCCATACGTGTTCTCCACCTTCTCTAGATAGAGCTGAGCAAAATATTTCATTACCAAGCAAGCAGGATATGAAAAATAAAAAGATCGGCCTCTAGTGGCAAAAAATATGAACGATTTATTATATATATTTATTATCATTTTACTTTTGGGGTTTTCCCTATGATATTACTTGAATATAACTTGCGGACAAAAAAATTAACCAGAGTTAGTATGAGTATAACATCATGATCACTGTAGCAAAAATTGAACATTATTGTTACTAAAAGTTCTGTCATGGTTACTGTCTTTTTTCTAGTCATATATTGGCCATTATTATTTTTCTTTAATTTCCAGCCTATCCTAAAAATGATGACATTGAAGGCAATAAAACCACCAAGAGAAAACACTACACACCTATTGAGGGACAAAAAAGCATGGCCCCATTTAAACTTGTTCAGCAATAAATTTGCACTTTCCTCCTCACCACTGCAAAAATAAAGAAACTATAAACAGATGACATGAATTCTCTAGGAGATAACACAATTTTTGCAACCTTTCGGGTTTCTTTGTATGGAGGGATTTAGAGGGGGCCACTGCAGAGGGCTTAGTCTATATCTTGATACATATTTGAGGTTTTATAATTAACACAATATGTGGTCATGTAACACTTCAATCACATTCCATTCGTTTTTAGAAACACTATGTTTATCAAGTTATAAAGGGGTTTATATGGATGAAGGGTTTGGAGGGAAGACTTTGGAGAGCTAGTCTATATCTTGATAAAAAATGTTTCTAAAAAGGGTAAAAAGCATAAATAGTCCTTAAACTATCTTCAATATATCATTTTAGTCCCCAAAATAATAAATCTATCATTTGAATCATTATTCTATGTATTGTGTATCAATCAAGTTTTTCCATCATTTCCAATTGAGCCAAAGACTCACTAACTTTTGGCTTGGGAATATGATGGAATAAAGCCAAATGGCTCACTAAACTGTCTGTGCTTCTTTGTTGTAAAGCAGCAGTAAGTTAATGCAATTTTCGACCCGATTTTCATCATGGGGTCATCCGAAAACATTCTCTTTGTGCTTTAACATAGGGGTAAGGTTGCGTACATCCGACTCCCCTTTACCTCCATGGCACCATCGAAGGTGGGAAGCTGATAGGAAACTATCGATCAATGAACAACAGTAAAACAGTAATCAAAGCTCAAGAACAAGAATTTTATTAATGGCAGCAATCTGTTACACAACAGCCCAAAGAAAGAGATAAAACTCTAACTTCCCATCCAAGACAACAAGTCTCAACAAGCCTGCCTATTCCCGCAGCAGGAAATACTATTTATAACCTTCCCTAAAAAGAAGGTGGTTATTAGTTATTAACAGCTTTAACTAATAACAAGACTAGTCTGATTTGGGCCTTCTCGAATACACCAATCCAAATCTGCCCCCATTAGCTGGACTAGTACCCGGGTCCCTATCAATACCTTCCCCTTGAAAAACCAACTTGTCCCCAAGTTGGAATTCAGGGAATTGCTCTTGCATCACTTGCACCTCCTCCCAAGAATCCTCAAAATCAGGGAGATCCTTCCAATGCACCAATATCTCCTTTTTTCCATCTTTATTAATTCTGGCCTTTCTCACCACTTCAGGGCTCACCTGCAGCTCACAATCTTCTGTGAGACAACTGGGAAGATTCTGATGGACTACATTAGGTTTCAGCACCTTCTTCAACAAGGAAATGTGGAATACAGGATGTATTCTACTTCCTGTAGGTAGTTTAAGTCTGAAAGCTACCTCATTCAGCTTCTCCACAATTTCATAGGGTCCATAGAACCTAGGACTGAGTTTCTGATTGATCTTTCTCATTAAACTTCTCATTTTGTAAGGTTGAATTTTTAAGAATACCATATCTCCCACCTCCAACTTCAATTCCCTTCTGTGTTTGTTAGCCTGTTGTTGCATCAAATTCTGAGCTTTAGCAAGATTCTCCTTTAGTTCATCCAACATCAGATTCCTTTCATTAGTTAACCTGGCCACCTCTTCTACTGCAGTTAAACCCACATCTCCTCTAATGATTGGGGGAGGCTTCTGACCAAACAAAGCTTGGTAAGGAGTACTTTTCAGTGAACTGTGATAGTTTGTATTGAACCAGTATTCAGCCCAAGGGAGCCACTTAACCCACTGTTTAGGTTTTGTACCAGATAAACATCTCAGATAGGTCTCCAAACACCTGTTAACAACTTCAGTTTGTCCATCACTTTCAGGATGGTATGCAGTGCTGTATTTAAGTTTGGTTCCAGCTAGTTTGAACATTTCAGACCAAAATGAGCTTAAGAAAAGGCTATCTCGGTCACTAACAATAGATCTGGGAAATCCATGTGTCTTGACCACTTCTTGAACAAACACTTCTGCCACTCCTTTGGCATTAAAAGGGTGTGCCAAAGGTATAAAATGAGAAAACTTTGTCAACCTGTCCACAACCACCAGAATTGTATCCTTCCCATATGATTTTGGCAATCCACCAATGAAGTCCATGCTGATATCAGTCCAAATCTTATCTGGTATAGGCAAAGGCTGCAGTAATCCTGCAGGCTTTAAAGCTTGATATTTGTTTCGTTGGCAAGTATCACAACTTCTTATATAATCTTTGATATCAGCCTTCATCCCAACCCAAAAGAATAGAGTGGAAATCCTCTTCAGGGTCCTGAAGTACCCAGAATGACCCCCCACAGCTGTATCATGATATTCTTTTAGGACAGATAATATTCTAGGACTCCCTTTAGGTAAAACTAACCTTTCCTTGTAGTATAATAAACCTCCTTTTACTCTGAATCCTCTGCATTGCTCCGGTTGACTCAAAATCTTCTGTAAAATCTCTCCATATTTAGGATCCTTTTGTAACTCATCTGCCAATCCCTCCCATTCATGACAAGTAACAATTGATAGGGCTGCAAAAATTGGCTTTCTTGATAGAGCATCTGCTGCCTTGTTCTCAATTCCTGGCTTGTATCTGATTGTGAAGTTGTAACCCAACAGTTTGGATATCCATTTCTGTTGATCCTCACCCATTATCTTCTGTTCAGTCAAGTATTTCAGGCTCCTCTGATCTGTATGTACTTCAAATAACCTGCCTAATAAGTATGGCCTCCACTTCTGTATAGCAAACACTATAGCCATCAGCTCCTTTTCATAGATGGATTTGGTGAGGTGCTTGGTTGACAGTACTTTGCTCATATAAGCAATAGGACCTCCCTCTTGCATAAGTACAGCACCTAATCCCCTTCCAGATGCATCCGTCTCTATGACAAATAGTTTGTTGAAATCTGGAACTCTCAACACAGGTAAGGAAATCATAGCTTGTTTCAGATCAAGGAAGGCTTGTGTAGCATGTTCATCCCACTTAAATCCATCCTTCTTTAATAGATTTGTCAAAGGTGCAGCAATTTTACTGTAATTTTTGACAAACCTCCTGTAGTATCCAGTAAGTCCCAGAAATCCCCTAAGTTATTTCAGATCCTTAGGAACAGCCCAATTCTGCATAGCCATAATCTTATCAGGATCAGCTGCCACTCCCTTAGCTGAAATGATGTGCCCCAGGTAACTCAGTTGTTCTTGGCCAAAAGAGCACTTTTTAATGTTAGCTACCAACTGATTCTTCCTTAATGCCTCCAACACTAGTTTCAAATGTTCTTCATGATCTGCCTCAGTCTTACTGAAAACCAGAATATCATCAAAAAATACTAAGGAAATTTTCCTCAAGTAAGGCCTCAGAACCTCATTCATCAATGATTGGAATGTGGAAGGAGCGTTAGTTAACCCAAAGGGCATCACTAGATACTCGTAGTGACCTTCATGGGTCCTAAAGGCTGTCTTATGTGCATCTTCAGCTTTCATTCTGATCTGGTGATAACCAGACTTCAGATCCAATTTAGAAAAAATTCTAGCTCCCCCCAATTCATCAAGCAACTCTTCAATCACAGGTATAGGGAACTTATCAGGTATAGTAACCTTATTTAATGCTCGGTAGTCCCCACAGAACCTCCAGCCCCCATCCTTCTTCTTAGCTAACAAAATAGGGCTACTATAAGGGCTGTTACTATGCTTGATGATCCCAGATTTCAACATTTCATCAATAATCTTCTCTATTTCATTTTTTTGGTCAAATGAATATCTATATGGCCTAAGGTTTGGAATCTGTGCTCCCTCTTTTATTCTGATAGCATGGTCACAAGCCCTTGCAGGGGGAAATGGTAAAACAGAAGTAAAAACTTCAGGAAATTCAGCAATTACCTTCCTCCAAGTCTCCTTAATATCTCTCTGATGCTCCAGATTACCCATCTTTTCTTCCATAGCCATCAAGTAACCTTCACCAGTTTGCTGCACTATATTCATCATGGTCTTCATAGAGACCTCCATATTATGGGATACTGTGTCCCCCTTGATTATGCAGTTCCTTCCCTCTTGTTGCCATTTGATGATTTGATTTCTGAAATTCACCTCCATATCTCCCAATTCAGTCAACCATTCCATCCCTAAGACTATATCAGTACCACCCAGCCCTAAGAGATAGTAGGTTTGCTGAATAGGAATGCCCTGGATCTTCAATCTCAGCTCATCACATCTGCCCATATTAGGAATACATTCACCATTTCCTATTTGTACCTTATATCCATGAATTGGATGATAAGGAATGGCCCACTTATCCACCAGCTCTTGTGACAAGAAATTGTGGGTAGCACCACTGTCAATTAAAACATTCACCAGCATTTCCCTCCCCTGCCATTCAGCTCTGCCTTTAACTTTGAAAGTCTGCATGGAAGGAATGCCTTCCTTGCTTAATATAGATAGTTGCATGATCTTGGAATCCTTCTGATTTGAAGATTCTGGTTGATCCCCTTCAGAACTTTCATATTCCATATCTGATTCTTCCTCACCTTCAGAGTTTTTAACTAACATCATTTTGTAATTTTTCATTTTGCATACATGCCCCTTTCCCCAGTTATCTCCACACTTGAAACATAGTCCTCTCTTACTTCTGTCAAGCAATTCCTCTTGAGATAGTCTGGAACCATTTTTACTGATGTGTTGATCTTTAACCTCCTTGTTTACCTTACTGTCCTCCATCCCTTTGATTGTGCTGTAAGCATTGACCTGATTAACCTTCCAGTTCTTTACATCTCCCCAATTCTGAGATTTATACTGTGTTTTCTTCCTTCCTTCATCCTTATTTCTGACAATCATGGTTTCCACATTCTTATTCTCAATTAATGTGGCCAGATTCATGACTTTTGCTAACGATTTTGCAGAATAAAGTTTCAGTTCAGCTCGAATGTCTCTTCTCAATCCTTTCAGAAATATACTCCTCAGAACTTCCTCAGTTAGGTGACCTTGAAGAGCCATGGCCGTTTCAAACTGATCTCGGTACTCTAGAGTCGTGCCTTTTTGTTTCAGACTGAACAAAGGCCCGAGCGGATCCTGCACCATGTCTGGTTGAAAACGTTTGGTCATCGCTTTGGTAAAAGTTTTCCAATTCTGACGTGGAGCGTGTCCCTCCCACCATTGAAACCAATTCAATGCCTGATCTTCCATTGCTACGACAGCCACATCAATTTTTTCATCCTCCTGTATCTGGTTCAGCCGGAAATATCTGTTCATCCTTACAAGCCATCCGAAAACATCCTTACCATTGAAGACAGGTAAATCTATCTTCCTTCCTGCTGGTTGCTGACGTTTGTGATATCGATGCTGATCGCGATGAGTTTGCGATACAGAATGATCGGAATTATGATCTGAACCTTCCGAAGTGTCACTGGTCTTCGTATGCCGATGTCGCTGGGCTGTATGATGCGAAGTCGTGGATTGGTGAGATCGACTCCTCGATCGATCAAGCTTCTGCTCCTTAATCTCCGCGAAACCAGCTTGCATCCTTGCGATTAGTTCTTCGAACTTCGCATTTGTCTCTTGCTGATTCCTGTCCATGTTCCGCTCGATCTCAGTCATTCGCCCTTCCATCTTCTTTCTCGTTCCAACCATTCACAGTCTCGACGAGTCTCTGATACCAATGATAGGAAACTATCGATCAATGAACAACAGTAAAACAGTAATCAAAGCTCAAGAACAAGAATTTTATTAATGGCAGCAATCTGTTACACAACAGCCCAAAGAAAGAGATAAAACTCTAACTTCCCATCCAAGACAACAAGTCTCAACAAGCCTGCCTATTCCCGCAGCAGGAAATACTATTTATAACCTTCCCTAAAAAGAAGGTGGTTATTAGTTATTAACAGCTTTAACTTATAACAAGACTAGTCTGATTTGGGCCTTCTCGAATACACCAATCCAAATCTGCCCCCATTAGCTGGACTAGTACCCGGGTCCCTATCAGAAGCCTTTGCCGCACTGGGGTAATGTTGTTGTATTGCGCATTAATCAAGTCCTGTCATTGTTTACCATTTTTAACTACGTGTACAGATAGGAGAAGGTTTAAATAATAGATAGTCTTTTTTTTTTTCAAATTCACCATGTTATAAAAACAGTATCCATCACAACCAGTTATAGTTTGTATACCAACCAACGGACAAATTAAATGTGCATTCCACCCCAAAAACGATCACATTTTATGCACTTCTTTGTCCAAAATAGAGTTATGTTTGACCAAACAAATCTTATTCTTGTAATTTGTCAACAAGAAGTTAAACAATTTACACATCATAAATTTAGTTATACCAACCAATAATTTTTTTAAGATAAGCAGGATTCATGAGAGATGATAGGGTACATTACAAAAAATTAAAACTTAAAAGTTGTACCTTCATCAGTTATGACCAGTTAGACAAAAGTACAAAACTATACGAACCAGATAATTAAACCAGCAGCTAATGCCTCAACACAGGAAAGCTGACAAGGTTTGCCATAATTTATTGGATTTGCTGCTACCAGCCATGGCACTGCAATTCTCACAAGCATTATAAAGTTAGGAAACTCACAAAGAGCATTAATTTAAGAGTAAAACAGAATCTTAGTTACTCTGAAAATATTGAGTAATGGTATAGCACAAGTCAACTAAGATCAAAGGGAAAGATAGAACATCAATCGGGTAATGGGAAAGAAAGCGAATAGGAAACAACAACAACATCGATATACTGAGGGCATGAGTACATACAAAGACGAGGTGCGGCACACCGTAGCTTTGCAAAAGGCACATCATCCAAACGTGCCCATGAACAATCCACAACTGCAAGCCCCTTCTGTTCAATTAAAGCATGATCCTCTCTTGAGATGCAATGTGTTCCAGCAGGACTGATAAATAAATGGCATCAATACTTGAATTGATGAAACTAAATGGAGTACAATACAACAGGACTGTTGCAATACTACAAAAAAAGGGAAAGATGGATCTTAACTACAGGCACATGCATACACTGACATTTTGGCTTGACATTATAAACGATATACTGCCTCAATTTCATAATACTGTTCCCACTGTGTTTTCCATATTAGTTGTTTCATTTCCTATGAAAAAAGTCTACCTTATTATACTCCTTACTTTACACTCTCTTATACCGGTCTAGCCCCACAATTCTTAAATTTGTCCTTCGCTGGTTCACTCTGTCTTCTCTATAAACCACACACAGCACCACTCAGACTATGGGCAGTGTGCACATGCAAGTTTGAATACTAATTTGAACCTGAGGGAGTTTGTTATAGGCAGTTGACAATTTTGATGTAATATGCATTAACTAAACTGCCAGAAATGCTCAAGTACATACACATTTTTTTGAAAGATCCAAATAAAAAACTCAAACCTTATTTATGATTATGAGCAATCATTTATGAAATTTGAGATATACTACCATACTATTCAAGTCAGGAAGTTAATACCTTAAAGCAATGCCGTTAAAGACACTGTTGACTCGCAACTCCTGCAAATAATTAAAAGAAAAATAAACTTATCTTAATAGTATATGTATGTTCATGAAATGATAGCTCAGACATAATATCCACATAAAAAGAATACTAGATAACATACAGTTACAGAAAAAATGGCCATTACTTTCAAAGAGAATACTGAATTTTAAAAATATTTAACATCAGCGCATAAAAAGCAGAAAGATACTTTCCTTTAACAAACCAAATCGTGCAAGCTTGCGGCCAGTGCATTTTTTTGAATCGCATTGGCCAAAATCCTGAAACAATTTATAGAATATATTAAATTAAGAGTCAAATGTATGCATTGCACAGATTGTTGTATTTAGTAGGTATCTGTCATTTCATATGTGAATGTTAACAAATACATTTCAGCCTTCTGGAATGGGAATGAATCCCCTTTTTGTTCTATAATCTATTGCATGTATGAGTGAAGGTACCTGACAAATAGCTAATGTTGCTCTTACTGATGGAGACATAAACTGGAAGCACAGTGTTTAATACGGAGTAATTCATAGAAATTACGGACTTTATAAAGGGAGAAAGTTCAACACATACCTACGCGACATAAATAGTCCAAGATACCATAAAAGCATATACTTGTCAGACAATATTAAAAGGTGGTGTATAACAAATATGCACAAACACTACCAAGTCCAAGCATAAGTAGCATACCCACATAGCAAGCTGAACACTGGGGCGTGGTCTATTCTCCTCTTCACCTGCAAGCAGGTAAAAAAGGTGAGCCTTTCTGTTGAGGCATTCACTCAAACTTGTTGCCGAGTATACATTTAGATGTGGTTAATCTTTAACGCACCTGAATCAACGGGTAGTGACTCTTCGTTACTAGAAAAAGGAAGAAAGTGCATGTTAAGACATTTTACCAAGATCCAATAATGAACCAAAACCATTGTGCATAGAATGTGTGAAATAATCTCACTGCAGTGGATTAGAGAATTTATGAACCTGAGCGGATAATGGGGCTGTCTAGATTGACCATGATGGTTCTTGAATCGTCTCTGCTTATTGTTACCCATTTGATGGTAGCAGTAGTAGTGACCTAGGTTGCATTAAGGTCAATAGGGGGTGGAAACATATGAGAATGGGGATGGATTTATGACATAAATATTACTAATGGGTAAGTTATGAGCAAAAGATGTAACTAGATAGTGTATAAAACTGGAAACACCTAAATGCATTGTACTAAATTCCCCCTCCCAATACCCAGACAAACCGTTCCCCTAGTGACTTGACTCGATGGCTCGATGCTCTAGTGATCTACTGCTAGAGACACAAACGGCCCCATCACCGTATGAGGTGTATTCATTTGATATATTTTAAGACTTGTGAAATCTTGCTGTATTTATATAAGATATTTTAATTCAGGTATCTTAAGGCATCCTCCATTTCCATCATTTGCAATGGAGCCAAAGATTCACTATTTTTTGGCTTGGGAATATGATAAAATAAAGCAACATGGCTCATTAAAATGTCTGCACTTCTTTCTAATGAAGCAACTATCAATTCATGCAATTTTGATGTGATTTTCAGCATAGGTCATTCGGAAACAGTCCTCTTTGTGCTTTAGTACATGGGTATGCCTGCATACATCGTCCCCCCACCGTAGGTGGGAGCCTTTGGGGCACTGGGGTAATGATGATGATGATTTTAAGGCTTCCTCCATTTCTGTTATATATTCCGCTCTTGACTTTAATCAACCATCTAAATAAGGAAAAAGTCTTCAAATGTCTTAATAAGTCTTGTGTGGAAATCCACACAATTCCCATATTAACACAAATCTTAAAATGTCTAGAAAAGTCTCAAATAAATACACCCCCTACAAGTGTCTTACAAGAAAGAATTTTTGTTCGAGTTAAATACATAAAATGCATGACAAAAATAAAAAGTTAGACCATAGTAAAAAAGTTCTTACAAACATATTAGGAACAATAGGATTACTACTAACAAAAGTTAATAGGATTAATGTGAAACAAAAGGATTAATACTCACATATCACAATCATATTAGTACTAATAACATTATACTAAATCTATAAACAATGAGATTAATACCAACAATGATATTAATACTAATGGGATGAAATGATTAATACTAAAGATTGAGATTTTAAATATGTGAAGAACTTATATTTTCCCAAATTCCTCTCTGAAATTAAATTCATCATTCTAGTTAGAAAATGAGAGGAAGAATATTACAAATTAAAGATAGACAAATATGAGCACAAGAGCTGAATAGATTATTACTTTATTAGAAATTAGAGTTTACACCTACGAAAGGGATATACTGGTTCAGTTTCTTAGATCAAATATAAAACTGAAAGTCCACTTAGGAACTTTTCTAATCCTTTTTAATGGTTGATTAGTTTATTTAGCTAAACACATTTTGGTTTTAGGTGCCCACATTTAAAACAAAATGCATATGTTCAGTATAAAAAAGAAAACAGGTTCAAAATAATGGGAAAATTCAATCTCAAAACAAGCAAAATTGTTAAATACCGGTGGCAGAAGGTATGCCAGTTATGTGAGTGCAGGGAAGTGCAGGGTCGCAGGCTCGCAGAAGTGCGGCGGAAGCTGGACCGTCCAGCCGGTCCTCTACGTTTGAAGGCCGAGGGGCGGATAATTTAAAATGGACCTAATCTTAAAAAAAATTGTAAAACCTTTTTCTGCCTAATATGCATTATAATAATATTTCAAGACCTTTATATAAGGAAAACTTAAATTCTTTAAATTAAACATAGTAAAATCACGGGTTAAAAAAAAACACTTAAATGCATTCCTCGATGAGCATTGTGAAGCGAAGTCATCAACGATAGCTTCATTATTGAAGTTGATACATTTGATCCATCCAAATCATTTTTTGATTGCTCCCTACCAATATTATCAACTCCTAAATTTCTCCTCCTATGACATGATCATTCTAAACCGTTTCATTTTCGGTAGCTAAATCATTCTTCTCCTCTGACTCTCTCAGTTCTCATCTTAAGGAGGACATTAAGGATTTGACTTCTTCACACAAACAAACTTTTCCATTGAACTTTTATACTTATTACTTAGGAGTTAGGATCATTTTCGCTAATTTTCTCCTCTTTTTTCTTTCTCCCATCCACATTCTAGCATTTTTTATTACACGTTGAAATTACTTAATCTTTAAATATCATTATAATTGAAAATGTTTACCTAACAAAATCAACAAATTATAAAGCCAACACTAAGAACTAAACAAATCAACTAATTATTTATTTACTATTCATTTAAAAACATTAAAACTATGAACAAATCAAGTGAAAATCAATTAATGAACAGTGAACTGATCAGATAATCATATTAATAAATCATTAATATTGCACGGTTTACCCATTTCAAAGCAGACGAAATATGAAATATATCAAAAAATCATGTAATAGAGTTACTGTGCATTTGTGCAAACATACAGCTACCCAGTACTCAAAATATTCTAGAATTGTATAGTACACATCTTAAATAAGATAGCAATCCAAACTCAATACGATAAACTACGAGACATCCAAGTGAGGGCGGAGGTGTACCTGAAGAGTGAAGGCTGAACGCCTGAACTGCTGAAGAGGTGAGGCAGACGCAGACGGCCCCTTAATCCTTCTCTTGGCGTTCGTCGTTCACAGTTCGTGGAAGGCTGATTGGCTGAACTCAGGCCTCGGCTTTTCCGTATTCTTGGGCCATTGGGCCGGTTGATCTGGACAAAATAATTACTCTTTAAGTTCACAGCTAAAAAAGCAATTTAGGGGTGTATTGTACTATGTTTAGGAATTAGTAGCAAAATTTTAAAAGTTCATGTACTACTTCCATTCTTAAATAAGGGTTGGTTTGCAACTACTTTTAAAAAAGCACTTCTCAGCTTTTGGCTTTAAAAAAGCACTTATTTTCTCAAACACTACAACTTTTATTTTTCTCGGCTTCCGCGTCAAAAGTGCTTTTACTTTTTCTATTACACAAAAAGCACTTATTTTACCAAACACTACCCACTTTTACTTTTCAAAATCACTTTTTTCTCAAACACTATCAACTTTTATTTAATCACTTCTCCCCATTTCATTAAAAAAAGCACTTTTTTAAAAGCAGAAGCTGTTGCAAACAGACCCTAAGTGCAACATGTGAAATTTTACACTATTCACATGTTCTACTTTGACTACATTTTATTTATTGATGTATTAATATATTTTTTTGAAAAATATATTATTAAATTTGTGTCATTGTAAATTTTCAAAAACTGATTTTTTAAATTATTACGAATAGAGAATTATATATATTAATGGTAAAAGTTGTGTCTCGACAAGTGTGAAATGTTGATTGTTGCACTTATTTAAGAACGGAGAAAGTATTTTAAAAGTTCATGTCTATTCAATATGAACTTTTAAAAGTTTACAAAAGTATATGTGTATTCAATGCTGACTTTTAAAAATCTATAAAACTCTAGGCGTATTCAAAATTTCATTCATTCTTATTTACATCTAAAATCATGGATTCTGGTAGACTTCTAACTCATTTTTAGTGCATTAATTCTCTGCAATTGTCTTTTCTCCTCACCAAAGATTTCTGTGGACTTTTTTCGTTGTTTTCTACCTGTCACAAGTACGCATAGATCTGGTTGCATATTTGGCTATTTACTTACCCGAGATCACAAACCGCCCAAAAAAGTCCTAGGCTAGTACTGGCCGGGTCGGGAGGTGGGTACCAGGATAGTCTCAATATTCAAAATTTGAACATTGAATTTTGATTTCTGCATCATTTTACGATAAATAAAGTTGAACAAAGAGATTCTACATTAGTACTGATACACAAGATAAACATTAAAAAAATAAAAAGTGATATTTTATATGTTGTCTTACGAAGAAAAATGTAAGAATGAGATCGGTTCCATTCTTGAAAGAAAGTTAGGAACCATTTGAAGAAGCGTTAATCTCATATCAATTCGGTTCTAGAAATTTTTAGACGAACCGATATAAGAATCGGTAGTATTACTTCGGTGCAATTGCGGTACGTCGTCAGTTAACCATTAAGAAAAAATATTTTAACTATTACTGTGCTTCATCCTTAAACCGCTAACACATAAAAATATAATTCAAATTAATAAATATATATCCGTAAATAATTAGGGTATACAAAATTTAACAAGATAAAAATGAAAATAAAATAATGATTAAGAAGAAAAATTTGATTGCATCTATTCTTGTACCACATGTAGCAATGGGTGTAACGCTTGTTCAACGTTTAATGTTCTTACCCATTGAGTTGTGTGATGTAACAATTGATCATAAATAGACCAAGATTGATGAGGATGCTCAAAACTTTGAGTTTTCTTTTTAATAAAAATAAATTTGGATTCTTATGCATGTGTATCTAGCTAGATGAATTGCATTTGTATCTTTTATTTATTTATTTATTTATTTATTTATTTATTTATTTATTTATTTATTTATTTATTTATTTATTTATTTATTTATTTATTTATTTATTTATTTATTTATTTATTTATTTATTTATTTATTTATTTATTTATTTATTTATTTATTTATTTATTTATTTATTTATTTATTTATTTATTTATTTATTTATTTATTTATTTATTTATTTATTTATTTATTTATTTATTTATTTATTTATTTATTTATTTATTTGTTTGTTTCTTATTGTATCATACAGAATAAATTACTTAGGATCGGACTAAACCATGCATATCATTTTTCTCAAAATATGATCATATGTTTGATTACCCTTAAATAGGAGTAAATATACATTTCTACTCCTAATTTAATAAACTAATACTCCCTCCGTCCCAGTGGACTTTGCCAAGTGAAAAGTAGCTGAGGAATAAGAATACTAAAAACTGTGTGGTTGAGATTTGTGCAGAGTAGAGAGAAATGTGCAAAACAACAAATTAATTGCTTTAATAGAAAAGTGACAAAGTTTTTTGGGACAACAAAAAAGGGAAAGTTGGCAAAGTCCAATGAGACGGAGGGAGTATAATTAATTGCCCCTAGTTCCATTGTATAACCAAAGTCATTTTGTTTATGGCGGATCAGTCCGATGATGATGACGGCGAGGTCTGATGATGGAGGCAAGCATGTAGATTGGTAGGGGCGATATATGTGAAAATTCTGAGGACTGATAGTGTCGTTTCAGATTTAAAAGTCAATAGAATTTATTCATAAAAAGTCTATGGAATTAAAAGTCTATTGACTTTTTTCAGTCCATGGATTAAAAAAAGGACACCACAATCCATATTCAATACACCCCCTTAGAAAAAATCTATTCACAATCACGTAATTACTATTTACAGCAATTACTATTTACACTCACATAGTCACATAAAAAAATTAAATAAACACATATCTTTAAAATATCAATTTTATCCTACCACTTAGGGCATCTCCATCCATAGGATTATTAGAGGATTAAATTGGTGATGTGGCGGATTATTTTTGGGATCGTGATTGGATGATGAAGATTAATTGGTGAGATTATTTGATAAAATAATCCGGGATTGAAATATGAATCCGGATTATTTCAAGATTATTATGAAGCTAGTATTAATTAGTCAGGGCATGACCACAAAAGATATGATTATTTTGAGATGATAAATGATGTAATTTAAAAGGTTTGAGATCATTTTGAAAAAATCTATGTGTCATTAAATAATCGGATTATTTTAGTAGCATGAATGTGGATGCTCTTAAACGAACTCATCTATAAGCATAAAGATAGCTTCACACTTCTTCATCGGGTCGATAGAGGGCACTATACTTGGGACGGTTGATCGAGAGAACTTCTTCATAGTATCTTAGCTTCAGGTCGTTTTTAGGGCGTTCAATAGGTTATCCAGAACACAGGCCCCCGGATTTACGGGGCCCCAGATTCGTAAAAGTAAAATACAATAGTAAAGAAGAAAAATATATATCCATCATTTGTTCGTTGGCCCTTTTACTCTTTTAGTTCTCTTTTAATGAGTATTCATCAATTGCTTTGATTATACGTATTTGGATTGAGATTTTTTTTAAAAAATTCTTTATATTAATGTGGGGCCTCAATTTTACATATAGAACCGGGGCTTTGATTTGAGGATTGTTATGTTGCTTTTGCTTGTTTCGTGTCTCCCTACTGACTATCGGTTAGGCTTTCTTTTGCTATGTTGCTTTTGCATGTTTCGTGTCTCCCTACTGACTATCGGTTACGGTTTCTTTTGGTGTTGTTGGTCTGTCTTCCTCCTGAACCACCGCCATGAAGTGAGGGGTTGGAAAATGACGTTCTTATTGGGATGCAGTAGGGATGGACTCGGGCTGGGCGGCCCGGCCCGGAACTGGCCCGGTCCGGTTACTATTTGAACCGGCCCGACCCGGGAACCGGTCCGGGGGGCGGTTCGGGTCGGCCCGGCCCGGTTACTGTGCGGTTCGGGCCTGGGCCCTTTGATTGGCGAACCGGCCCAGCCGGTTCGGGCCAAATTATTTTTTTTTTTTGAATTTTTTTTAAGTTTTTGGGTTGGGCTTGGTATTTTGGGCCATTTGAGGTGGTTTGGGGGTGAGGGGGAGGGTTGAGGGTTAATTAGGAAAAGCCAAAAAAAAAAATAGAACCGAGGCCCGGCCCGGCCCGAACCGGAACCGGGATTACCCGGGCCGGTTCCGGGCCTCCCATTTCTGAACCGAGGCCCGGCCGGGCCCAGGCCCGAACCGGAACCGGTCCACCCATACCGATGCAGTGGTGAAGGATGAAAGAAAACAGATCGAGACGTTTGTCTTAATATTTATTATTGTTTTCTTTTCAATGTTATCTCTTTCGTGTTTATTTTTTTATTTTCAAACTCGAAATGTATGGTTGATTTTTGATTGGTTGATAAGTTTGTTGGTTGATTTTTGATTGGTTGATAAGTTTGTTGGTGTAGTGATGACATTAGTCTTTATGTGTTTAAAAATAGATCTAGTACTAGCACTAATATCATACTCCCTCCGTATTTATGTGTTCCCTACATTTGCTTTTGGCACAATATTTTAGGATAAAATAATAATGGTTGTGAATAGTGTAGAAAAAGTAGGAGAGAATGTGTAAAAGTATGAAAGAGAAGATAAAAAGTAGATAAAATAAGGGTAGTCGAGTATTTTATAAAGGACAAACTTACCAAAAATGGAAGTGTAAGAAACTTTTAAATACATCCCCAAAAGGAAATTGTTGAGAACTTTTAAATACGGAGGGAGTATATAGTTTAACGTAGTAAGATTCATATCCACATGAGAAGTATTACTTCTTTGTGAAATTGTAATCAAAGAGGAGTCGTGAGACTGTTTGAATTTGAGAAAATATAAAACTAAGATGAATATATACTTAATCGTGAAATATCTTCAATTCATTAAGGAAAGCTATTAACAATGAGTGTTTACTAATATCTCTTACTATTAGTCAAGTATAGAACATCGTCATATACTAATGTGACAGTAGCCTTTAATTTCTTGACTTCATGATAAAAGTAATTGAGATATCTCTTACTATTAGTCAAGTATAGAACATCGTCATATACTAATGTGACAGTAGCCTTTAATTTCTTGACTTCATGATAAAAGTAATTGAGATTGATAACCTCAACGATTTCGATTCAACTAGTACAATTAATCCCTCTTTAGATTATTCTAATAATGAGACCATGCATTAATAACTTGAAGTTACTTGCGGAATAATGAGACCATGCATTAATAATTTGAAGTTACTTACTTGCGGAATCATCAATGATAAACACTAGTTCATTGTCGTTTATTAATTAATATTAAAGTGTTAACTAATTGTCACATAGCAATACCCAACAATATTA